CTGTCTTAGGTTTCTTTAAGTTTTGTCCTTGAAAGTTTTCTTCTTTTTAGAACTCTTAAGTGTTCTTGGTTGGCGTACATATTTCCACTTGATTGCCATTTTTGAAGAATTTTTTTAAAGACTTTAAAGATAATTTTGGAACTTGTGTAAGGAGTCAAACACTTAAGTGACTTGATTTACTTTTTAACCTTTCATCTTTCGTGTTTGTGTTATTTTAACTTGTTTTACAAACATGTCAAGTTCATCATCAGAGAAGGAAAGCAATGTGGAGGCATCAAATGAAGGGCAAATGAAGGGCCCAAAACAAACTCTAATGAAATTAATTAGAGAAATGGAGTTGTCCCAGAAAGAGAGTGAAAAGACACTTAAGGGAGACCATCCAAAGGTTTGAAGCGGAGAAGTCCCAAAGGGAGAGAATGTGGTCATATTCACCAAGTTCACAAGAGGAAGATGATAAAAGATATCATGGGAGGAGACAATCTAGGCGCACCAACACTCCAAGAAAGAGCAACATCAAGATACCTAAGTTCTACGGAGATAATGATGGTTGCATGGGTTGTCCAAAGGTGTATGACAATCCTTTTTCATGTCCTACATGAAAAAGGAGTGTCATACACCTTTGGAGAGGAAGAAGATCGGAATGTAGGATTGATAGGTTTGAGACAACCCAAAAAGAAACACACCTTTTTTTTCATGTTCTCCACACCCTTAGAGACATTTTTCATGGGCTAGGATGAATTTAACATATTTGGGCCATGGAGACTCTTAGCCTTTAGGTTTAGGTTAAGTTTATATCTCATTTTATAATTTCATCTAGGTCCCTCCCTCAAAAGCCTATAAATAGAAGATGTCCCCTTATGTAATTAGGTTAAACATTTTATGAAAAGTTTGTGAGGCTTCTTAGAGTGTTTCATCTATTTGAGTGTCTTATCTTGAACCTTGGGTCAAGTGGCGACAACCACCACTTATCTAGGGTGGCGCATCCCCTAGTGGCGTGTCAACACTCGACCACCACCATACTTCTCTTCTTTTGATCTTTTCTTTTTTATTTCTTCACACCATTTATTTTTCTAACCTTTGTCTTTATTCTTTTTTAGTTTCATTCCATCTCCTCCTCTCTCCACAATCCTTGAAAATGAACCTTCACATCTAGATAGGCAACTATCTTAATGTCCAGTGAGAATTTTTCTTAGCTTTGCTTACTTTATTGCTTCAAATTTTACACCTTATCTTGTTAAAATTCTGCACCTTACTTATTGTATATCAAATACTATACAAAAAATGTCACTCCGACAATGTAAAGACAAATATGTCTCGAAAAGCTTCCCGGTGAAGAGTCAGCAAGGGAGCTTGTCTAGAACTTCCAGTGTTCTAATATCTAAAGGGGACATATTGGTCCTCAACCAATGTCGATTCCTAATGAGATCTACAGTCCAATAGAACAAGAATTTGATTTTCTTCCCATCATAAAAATATTTGTGTCTATCTTCCTCCATTTGCACTTTAAAGAAGTCCATTTTTAAATTATTAAAGGATGAAGTGTATGCACCAAACAACATGTTGGAACACTGACTAATGAGAGACAACCAACCAACTTGATCATTAGGACAGGTGCTAAAGTGATGAAGAAAAATCGGAAGGGTTAGTTTAAATGCAAAACCTCGCACATCAATTTAAAGGCTTGAGGGGCGGCCCAATTATTAGGATAGAGTTGGGTAAGTGTGATAACAACATTTTAGTCGTACAAAATACTGATAAAAAATAATAATAAACAAGTTGTTAAATTAATATAGTATAGCTAACCCGTGTCGAATCTCATAAGGACACAAATATAGGAACGTACTCATTACCACACATCTTTTTCTCTAAAAATAATAAATAACAATAAAAAAGGGGTGATAAAAGAGTGAAAAAAGATTGATGCAAAATAATAAATTTTAAAATCAAATTACAAAAGAATAATAATGATGATTAAAATTAAATTGTAGCATAATTTAAATAATTGAAATTTATAAAATTAAAACAAAGTGCTTTTAATTAAATTCGAAGTTGCCAAAATAAAGTGCGAGTGAAGTAATTAAATTTAAATTTTTTAAAAATGATAACTCTAAAACTAAATTGAGAATTATACTTGGAATCAGGAAACTATATGAATTAAAAATGAAAATTAAACAAGATCTTGGAATAAAATAAAATTTTTAAAAAATTAAAAAAAGAAATTAAATGAGCATTGAATAAATAGAGTAAACCCAATAATATAAACTGAAAAATTTAATAGAAATTGTAAATTAAATAAAAGAGAAGAAACTGAAAATGTAATAGCAATAGATGATTTCGACTAACTAAAACTAAACTAAAAACTAAGAACAAAAAAAGAAAACGGGAACAAGACAAAACAATAGTTTGTCCTAGAATAGGAGATGGTGATTGTGTTCTCATCACACATCTATTTGTAGGGGATTGAACAAAAGAAATTAAGCTTAAAATTAATTACAATAAAATTAATTGTTTTTCAAATTAAAAATTAAAATTGGATGGTTGTAACGAAAAATTTCTAAGACTGATTTGGAGAAAATAATCTGCTTCTTTCCTATTTCGAGTAATCCAACACTCGATTTGCATTTAATTTTTTATTCTCGTTGGCCTTTAATTTAGGTAAATTGGATTTCAACACCAGTTAATTTGCTTTATTCAAATTTTTTATTTGTAATGTTTCACAAGTGAGTTGCACAAGTAAATTTGAGCTTCCGAGAAGAGTAAAGTTTTCATCAATTTGACCAATCTCAAATTATCTTTCTTTTGCAAAAAATAAAATAAAACAAATATATATATATATATATATATATATATATATATATATATATATATATATATATATATATATATATATATACATTGTGGAAGTATACATGTATATTGTTCTTTTTATGATAAAGCTATGCAAAATGCAACAAATTAAGAAAAATTAAATTATGTTATGTTTTTAATGAAAACATGTAAAATGTATGATTTATGAAGAAAATAATTAGCTTAGAAAATACTCTTAAATCAAGAAATATAGAGTAAAATAACATACATTAAAGTGTCGCATCATTTAAAACATGTAGTACATTCATGGTAAACTCATCCAACAAAAATCGAACATGTAGATTCTTCACAATACTCATACATATAGAAAAAATCATCGAACCACCCTTTGCAGTCATAACAAACATTGCCCATGACAGAACACATACTAAATGAAATAACATCCTCATTGTTGTTTCTTTCAACCATGCATTGGCTCACAACAAAAGAAGTTAAAATAGGTGATCACTAATACTTTGAAAGTAACCCTTCACACGTGGATCTATCCAAACATACTCACCCCTCAATGGCAAGTTTGATTGTGCTTGCTCCACAAAAAGCTAAGCACTATCACTATCATTACCACACGTAGAATAAAAAAATATATTTCCACCTCCACTGCCCTTGGTGGAGGCCAATAATGCAAAACAAATAGTGTCTGCACTATCTCTGCTACATTGAACAACAATCTCTCGTGCTCTTCGCACAAACCCACCTGGAAGTTCTTTGGTTGCTGAAGAAGATAGTGAAAACATCTCATACCTAGTAACTCACAAAATAACACGAAATCTCTTGAAAAATGACACTAGAAAACGTGTGCTTAAAATACACTTAGAATTCGGAGCTAGCGATAACATGTGGTCCCAAAAAGACCCACCATATACTTATAAGTTACACATGTACGCAAACCCAAGTGTCGCATGCTTTGAGCCATATGATCCTACCAATCTCATGGTTGAAATATGCGACATATATGTGAAATGTTATGTCTAACGAATTTCCACTAAAAGAGTACCTTCCAACACCTTTTAAACGGTTACTAACACATGGTTTTCTTTCCTTAGATTCTTCCTCATTTGTATTCCTCGAGCGTAGGGGGTAAGTAGGTAAGAGGAGCCGGAAGTATTCCGACCAAAAATAATGAATATTTTTGTTCCAAAACTACAAACTTCTTCTTTGCCAAAAGCTCCCTCAAACTTGGGGACCAATATATTGTGAGCATACATATCATGTTACATGATATTGTAGGTATATGGATTGAATGATATTGTAGGTATATGGATTGAAATATGTACACTCAAGTGATTAGAGTGATGAAATGTAGACATATTTATAATATCTAAATTAGAGAGTTAGATATTTGAGTGTTACCAAAGACCTTTCCGTCTAACAACCAAAAATTAAAGATCAAGACACAATATTCTATCTTATGGAATTCTCGATCTTAGAAAAACATTTTTCTCTATAAGAAAATCAACTAATTGAATTAAGTCTTCAAAATCAATGTTTATGTATAATTGTTTGATTAAGCTAAAATCATATACCATATCCCTATCCATATATGTTCAAGCTTTAAGCCCATTCATCATGAAAGCCCAATAATATAACTCATGCTACAAGTGCCTGCAATATCTTTTGTCAACTGATGCTAAAACCACTGTTATAACCCTTTTGTAGACAAAGGCTGTTTTATGTTATATCGCTTAATGAATTTACAATATATATGAGTTCCTAATTAAAATATTAAAACTATAATTTTTTCTTATCGTTGATAAATGAATTGTATTTTCTTAAAAATACAATTACTCAGTGAGTGTGGTGAGTTGCACCGGTTAGAAAACTAAAAAAATATATTACTTAATTTTTTTATATACACATGTCTTAGTTGTATGAATGAAACGTGTTAGGCCAGAAATAGATACTTAGCCGAAAGGAAGGTACAGAGGTTCGATCTTCACGAGCACAACAGCACCGTGTCCACAAAATTCTTAAAGCTCGGTATCCTTTACTAGGACTTCAACTTCTGCGTTAATCTTACATCAGACATCAGCTTCTACGATTATCTGCAGTCTTGTATTCTGAGCTGGCCAATTTCTTTTCCCCCTTTCATTCTCATCCTAAAGTAACCACTAAGTTAATAAACCTTCGTGGACATGGCAACAGCCTTGTCCACGACCAGCGTGCTTTGCTGGAGGAATCCGCAGCACGTGCATGTTCCACCCTCTTCACAGACACTTTGCTACTCCTCACAGCAAAATGGAATTCTAACAACTGTGGCTGCTTCAGCCTCAAAAGACGGAGAAAAAAGCGAGAAGTGCTCAACTTTGTTGGTGAGCAGAAGAACAGTTTTGACTTTTGGGGTTTCCTTGTTAGGTTTCCCAGGTGAGAGTTTGGCTGTGGTGAAACAAGGCCTTCTTGCAGGGAGAATTCCTGGCCTGTCCGAACCAGACGAACAAGGTTCGTTCACTTTGGATTATAATAATTCCTATTTGTTTGCACCGACAAACCATTCTGCCACGGCTTGGCTTTAGTCTATTTGTAGACCGGACTATAGCAAAGTAAACGAATTTGTAATGTAGCATTTCATGACAGATAAACATGCATAAAACCATAAGAAAGAGAATTTTTCAATGTAACCCGTGATAAAGGAAATGCAGACAACCATATAAAGATATGGTTGTTTATTTTACAAATTTCCTATTGGTCTAAAACTGGTTTAATCTTAATAGCCTTTAGGAGAAGAAAAGTTTCAGTCTACCAGTTATCAAATGGTCCTTCTAGGAATGTGAAAAAAAAAAAATAAAAAAATCCCTTCCATTGGTAGAGTTATATACCTGCTGTTTGATTCTAAACTTGATTTCATACATTTTTTAAGTTTGAATTCCAATTGCCTCCTCTGTTATAGATTTTAAATGAAAGTGAGATGATGTAGGCAAGTATTTGATCAGACAGGTTGGAGGACATATCGCAGGCCAGATGAAAAGTCTGGTGGACATGGTGTTGGGTGGAGCCCTATTATCCCATACTCTTTCAGAGTGCCTCAAGAATGGGAAGAGGTGATATTCAAAAATATTTTGTAGTTAGAGTTGGAAAAAATCACTATAAGATTTCTGTTCTATCTCAACCAGTCCCATGTATTGAAAAGTTTTAAATATACCAGTGGGAATTCCTTAGAACGCTTACTGAAATAACTCCTATTTCTCTCTTTTTTGGAGAGGAGTTTACTTCCCTTTTAATCTGAAAGATATGTTCCCACATATGTTTACCTAGAGGGCATTTTATCTTTTGCTTTCTTCTGCTCCTGGATTTTTGTATACTAAGCTAGCAAATATATGCTTAACAGGTACCAGTATCAATAGCAGATCTTGGTGGCACAGAGATAGATTTGAGATTTGCTAGCTCTAAGGAAGGACGTTTGTTTGTCATTGTTGCTCCTGTTCTTAGATTCTCTGACGGTGAGTACTAAGTTCGTTTAATTTTCTTTCTCCATCTTTGCTTGCAAGATACAAAGAGAATTAATTGAAACAGAATGAACAATGAAACTTCTAGTTGGAACTCCGTTTATTACTTATGTGATAATATTTTAACTATAAATCCATACAGTTCTTGGTGACAATGCCACAATAGAAAAAATTGGACCTCCAGAGAAAGTGATCAATGCATTTGGTCCAGAAATGATTGGGGAAAATGTTGAAGGGAAGGTTCTGAGCTCTAATGTAGCAGAACATGAAGGAAGAACATACTACCAGTTTGAGCTAGAGCCGCCTCATATTTTTATTACTGCCACTGCAGCTGGCAATCGCTTATATTTGTTTGGTGTAACAGGAAGTGGTATGGCTGTTTATCCTCTTCTAAGTAGTTTCACAAGTCTGAACAGCTAGAAAGTATATCAAGAAACTATGAGAACTAACAGAAAATAATCTAATATTGTCTCGACTCAATTGCAGGTCTTCAGTGGAAGAGACACTATGATGATTTGAAGAAGATAGCTCAGTCTTTTCGGGTTGTATAATTGAATATTCTATGAACCGAGATATATTTGAAATGCAGCTTTCTGTATTTGTAGTGTTGTACAAAGAAGTGGTTGTTTCTCTATACTGTGTCTGATTGGGATTTATGTGAATCGAGAGACCCCATATGTTTGAATCTTTGAACCATCAATATATCAAACCAGTTTTGTTACATTTGGCAAATGCTATGATAAAATGCTTGTTAAGAAGCTTGGGATATACAGTGATGATTAAGAAGCTTGGTTACCTAATTTTCGAGAATTTGAAGTTTAAGGGATGGGGTATTTGTTCTAGTTCTTTGTCAGGGCTTTGGCACAGGTCTCAGTAAAGGCTTATCATTGTAGTTATGAATGATCTATCAATGAAGGACCATCAACAGATTGAATCAACATTCACGCTTTGACGCTCTGCACGTGGCTTCAAAGCACATTTCCTTTGCCCTTTACCCAGACAACTCTCTGATCAGAATACCAAATCAAATAGCTTCACTTAAACAAATCTGTTGCAATATTACCTCATAGTGGAGGCAGAAACCACGCATTATCTTGGCGTGGGGCTCACAGTATAAAAGCTCTTTGCATCATTGTTGCCAGTAGGCTATTTCGTGTATAGGCCAATGCTTATTTTGGTATTCCTCCTTTTTAGATTGCACTTGGGCCATTCATTTTAATGTGGGGCTTCCTCACTTAAATCCACAAAAGTCACTAAAGATTATTGAACTACATCCGGGTGTCTTTCGAGATCCTCCATCCACCCTAATCCTCCTCATCCTTTCAGCTTTTTCCCATCTTTCGGAAGTTGCATAAATATTGGACAATAGCACATTGTGAGAATTAGCACCTGTAACAGAGTTTTCATGGGTCAACTTCATTACTTGTTCTGCCATGTTCATATCTGAATGAATACGGCATGCACCAAGCATTGCCCCCAAAACTGTGTCATTAGGTTTCAATGGCATTCTTAGTATCAAGTCATAAGCATCTTTTAATCTCCCAGCTCTTCCCAAGAGGTCAACCATGCATCCATAATGCTTGATTCCTATTTCAATTTCATATCCCTCCATTTTAGATATTACTTCCAAAGCTTCACAGACCAAACCCCCATGAGCACAAGCTGAAAGCACAGTAAGAAAGGTGATACCGTCAGGCCTTATATTTGAGTCCTCCATCCTGCCAAAAAACTCAAGAACCTCTCTGCATTTTCCATTGATGGCAAAACCTGAAATCATAGCATTCCAGCAGAAGATGTTCCTCTCAGTGAATCCTTCAAACACCAACGTTGCATTGACCAAGTCACCACATTTCGCATACATGTCAACCAATCCACTCAACACAAACGGGTTCACAGCTATCCCGTTATGTTCTATCATGTGATGGATTTGCTTACCAACATCCAGGCGCCCCAGCTGTGCACAGGCAGATAAAACACTAACAACAGTGAACTCATCAGGCTTAAACCCTTCAGCTCCCATTCTCTCAAAAGCCTGTAGTGCTTTCTCACCAAATCCATTCTGGGCATAGCCAGCAATCATGGAATTCCAAATCTCCAAATTCCGAGCTGGAACCCGGTTGAAAACAGTCTCAGCCTCAGCGATATTGCCCTTCTTGCAGTATCCATAAAGCATAGATGACCACACATAGCAATTCCTTTCAGGCATCAACTCAAAGACCTCCCTGGCAGCTTCCATCTCTCCTATTCTGGCATACCCATGAATCATCACAGTCCATATTAGCACATCCTTTATCTCATGGGGAACCTCATCAAACACCCTCCTAGCAGTGACAATATCCCCATTCCTAGCAAACCCACCAATCATCTGACTCCAAGTCACTTGATTTTTCCCTTTCATCTCCTCAAACAGAAGAGAAGCAGATCCTGTGTCTCCCTTTCTCAAGTACTCACTAATCATGGCATTCCAAGCCACAATATTTCTCGCAGGCATTGTATCAAACAGTTTCCGTGCATCCCTGATGGCATCACATTTGCCATAACTGGTAAGCAATGCGGTTCCAAGGATCACGTCGCTCTCTGAACCGGCCTTGATGGACTCTGCATGCAAGATCTTCACGTGATGAAGGAAGGGAAAGGAAGCGCATGCCTTGAGTAACAGAGGGACCACACTGGAGTCATATAATCCTTCATGGCGGGTCTGCTTATACGCAACAAGAGTACATCTCAATGATACTTGGTGAATGTGGCTCCTTACTGAACAAGACCAAGAAAGCAAAGGTGGTGCTCTGGTTTTTGCTCCCATGTTTTTGGCAATGACAGCTCCTATTCTTCATGAATGGTGGCTTCTTGAAAGATAGATGGACGATATTTCGGAATGATTGGACATTGATGGGTCTGCTGGCTTGGGCGTTTTTTTTATTACAACTGTTGTAAAAAATGAAACTAGTTAATAATTATGTCATTACTTAATCACACACAATTATTTATTTTATATTTAATTAAATTTTAAGTAATACTTATTATTGTCAATTTATACCGATTAATAACATTGAACTAATACTTTTGTAGATAAATCATATATGGGTCAATTTATAACATTAATTTTTTCACATAAATTGTAAAATTTAAACGTTATATAAATAATAATTGGCACCTTAAACGTGTAAAAGTAAGAAACTATTTAATAAATGCTTAGCCATATTCTAATTCCTTGCTACTGTAAATGCTCTCCCTTGTATGTGTCATGTTAGCCTTTGGTTTGGTCATTGGATCTGACGAGTTAAACATGTGATATTCGAGTCAACTGATTACTTGATTTGATCATAACTTTTGTTAAGAAGAAAGTTTTTGAGTGTTGGTTTGGTTGAAAGACTTAGTTGTGTGTTGGGTTGTTTAAGGGTTGAGTTTGTGTGTAATTTTGATCCAGTCTTCGGCAATGATTATTCTCTCTGTTTAAACCCCTCTTCTCCCTACATCATAACTTGACGAGTATAGCGCATAAGGAATATAAAGCTGCAATCTCCTTTAAACAGATTCTACCTATAGAGAAGGATGAAGTTTGATCTCTTCTAGAACCCATTATCCCTTGGTCTATTCTCCTTTCAATAATTCATCAATATCACCGTGTCTGTTACATCATGGGATAAGTCTATTTCAGCATCCAATCCAACTAACCTTGTTGAGATGCCATCATTGCAACCCAAAATTCACATCAAATCAAAAATTAACAACTGCTACACATAATTGCTAATAGGAATTCTCTTAACAAATATATTCTTGACAACGCAAATTATAACCACGAAGTACTCACAAGTATTCACTAAGCATATAAACTGTTCCTATTCTACCTACATATACCCTTATCTTTTCCTGAATTGTTGCTTTTATTGTTTTCACCACTTCTTAATGAAAGAAATATTCTGGTTCTCTATCTATTAAATATATATTTTTCTACTGTTGTATTGGTCAGGAATTCTTGGGTGGTAAAGACTAAACAAATTCCTCAATGATCCACTACGAACATCTGTCGTTAACGTGGGTTTAACTGTTGGTAATGGGTAACTGTAAACCCATTCATTAAAAGTTAAATAATTTTGAAGGAACACGTACCAGCAATGGTACAAACTATGGAACCTTGTGATGGGACATGTTTAAAATTCTCATGTTCTATCTTACGGCAATGGTTCTCGTTTTGTGGCTTTACCTTATGAAATGCAGATTGCTTTTAATAAAGATGAGAGAAGATACATAACCAATCATTGTTGGATACGTGAAGAGGACAATGCCTGTTTCCCAAAATAGTCATCCTTATACAGTTTCCAAAAAATAAGACCCAAAAGAGATCAATGTAGAGTAGGATGGGTACCCTTCTCACATGATGGCATAAAATTCTAGGCTTGATTGATGGCTATTGTCACAAGTCCTAGTAAAACTGAACTCACATTCCATTCTATCACAAGGTTAATTTACTGTTTTCTTTATTTCTGAAAAACGAAAATATTTTCAGAAACCCAACAAAGTCCTTTTCTGCTTGGTCCTTGTCTAGTTACAAAATGATCCATGGGATAAACTTAGCATGTGGTTAATTTATATTTATTTCTATTTCGCAGTTATGTTAAAATCTGATTGCAACAGTTTCTTTATAGAAGAAACTGAACTGTTGCACTGCACACATGTCTCGTGTTGATGTCATGTGGAACTACTATATATATTTTCCTTTACCTCATCCCGTGAGTTATGTAAGTGTATGGCAATGGTTTATATAGCATAAGCATCTGCATTATTTCGGGTTGGCGCAAATCAGACACATGACAAAGACCCTATAACACATGGTTATGTTATGATTATGGTTGTGAAGAAAAACAGTTCTCAACATTAAATCCCAAGGGTAAGACCAAAATACAGTATTATACTGTATTTAACCTTGCGCTTGCCACCTTTTCCTATATATACCCACTAACTTGTACTCTCCTATCATCGAGGCTCCTTACCATTTCTAAAGAAACAGGTTATATATTTCAGCACCTTGGTTCTCTCAACTCCCAAGGTTTTTTTTTTCCACCCTCTTCTGCAGATTAGGCAGAAGGAAGAAAGAAAGGATAACAAAAGTTCAAAGGTCATGGATATTGCCCATTTTTTGTTTGGTATATTTGGTAGGTTTAAAACCCTTTTAAGTTTTACACGAGTTTCTCTCTGTTTTTTCTTGTACCCTGATGAAAGTTTTTCTTGTTGAGTCTTGGCTTCTGAACTTTTGGTTTCTCTGTTTCTCATTGTTCTTCTTTCTGGTACAGGGAATGCTTCCGCTCTGTTCCTCTTCTTGGCTCCAGTGTATGCATTACATAGCTGTCTCCTCCCCTCTCTGTTATCTCTCTCTTAAATTCTTGCGAATTTACTCTTTTTTCCCCCTATTAGTGGTGTGGATGGCTTCCATGGACCCTGTTATATTAGAGATCTCACCTATCCTCTGTGGGTAACATGAATAAAATAATCTGTATAATTAATAAAACGACTCTCATGACTCACATTTTGAGATAACTTTGGGGTTGAGTTAGTTATAAAGCTTAATGATATTATGATATTAAACTTATTATTGTACTTTATATTGGACTGCTGTTCAGTATTATAAATTTCATGTTCAAAACATCTAGTTGACAGAAAGTGAGGGGAGTTTTGAAGATCAATATTTAACTAGTGATGTAAAGAAAATAGTTCATGTAACCGTTGTTTTATGAACTTAGTTTTTGGAGCTAAAGCTAACTCAAATTCTACACCATGAACATGATTTACCAATTAATCAATTCAACCATCTGTGCGTATAAAAGTAGCATATGATTTTAGTACTGTTTATTGATATGCGGAATAGAGCAAGATTGAGTGAAAAGTGTGATGAATTGGGTTTTGTAGGATCACATTTAAGAGGATTATAAAGAACAGATCCACAGAGATGTTCTCGGGCATTCCATATGTCATGACACTGCTCAACTGTCTCCTTTCAGCTTGGTGAGCTTCTCGCATGTTCTTTCTTTTACTGTATGCCTTTATCGTCTCCTCTCCCAAATCTTCTATCAAATCACGTGTACTTTCTTTAAATTTTATGATGGTCATTTTCGCTACTTTCTTCAACTGTCTCTGTTTATGCCTCACTTTTTTCCTTTATGTAAATTGTAAGTTGTGAATTCTTCTTATATTGGATAATAATATTTTCGTACGTTGCTTTTTAATTGAGAAAAAAAGTTGCTTGTCTATTGGTAAATCATTAAAGTGTACAGAATGACAGAGATAAAATTGCTTTTTGGAGGGGTCAATAATTTGTCGGACTATAATTATAGTAGTTGAATTTTCGCTTTCAATTGCAAAATAAATTTTTGCCTAGAAAACTATATCCTTATCTTGCTAGCTACCAAATGGTAACAACGTTGTCTTGTTCTGTATTTGTAGCCGATTGGTTGGTTCGTTCTTGTCATCCATTTTACATATTATGACTCATGTTCTAATCTGAACTTTATAATTGAGTAAAACCACTTCAATTAAACTTTAAAACAATAATAGTTAATTCCTAGTAAAAGTTTTTGTCTGTTTGTAATTTTTTAAATCCGCAGGTATGGTCTACCTTTTGTGTCTCCCCACAACATATTAGTGTCAACAGTGAATGGTACTGGATCTTTGATTGAAATCGTATACGTGCTGATCTTCATCATATTGGCAACCAATAAAGAGAAGGCTAAAATTCTTGGTCTCTTCACCTTCGTGCTCTCTGTGTTCTCTGCTGTTGTTTTTGTGTCCCTTTTTGCCCTTCATGGCAATTCCAGAAAGCTCTTCTGCGGCTTTGCTGCTGCAATATTTTCCATTATCATGTATGGCTCTCCACTATCAATTATGGTAAGCTGTTTTTCCATCATATTGTTATGTACAAGTAGTTGTTCATTCAAAATCAACTAAGTAAATTTTAACAACTTTATAATTTGTTGTATATTCAATTATTAACAATTTTATTATATAAACAGCTTCTTTACCATTGTTAAATACTATCAAGGAAGAAAAGTGTTATTTGTACCTACGTAATACTGATAGTGCAAGATTCACTGAGGGTGTTTGTTACTTGTGGATTTAAAACTATCTGCAGAGACTAGTGATCAAAACCAAGAGCGTGGAGTTCATGCCCTTTTTCTTGTCACTGTTTGTGTTTCTCTGTGGCACTTCCTGGTTTATCTTTGGTCTGCTAGGCCGTGACCCATTTGTTGCAGTAAGTCACTTTGCAATTTTAACTTTTTAACCATAGAAAATAGTTTGATATTAATCTATTGGCAGTGAAGAAGAATAGACTAAGGTTCAGATATGGTTTTCCAGGTACCTAATGGTGTTGGTTCTGCTTTGGGAACAATGCAACTAATATTGTATTTCATATACCGAGACAATAAAGGTGTTGCAAGGAAACAAGCCCCCACAGAGGAGGAATTCATGGAGATGGGGAATGCAAAGCCTCGACAAGGGAAGCAATCCAGTGCAAATGGAACTCAAGCATGAGATGTCAAGGAACACATTTGGCTTACAACAAATGCAAAGACAAGTCATATTTGTCATTCATCAGCAGCTACATAATCTTCAACTCAACAGAGAGCAAACATCTCTATGATTTGGTCTTCTCTTATTTTAGTTCTATAAATGGTTGTAATTTACTTAAAGCCAAGAAACTGGCACCTTTAGCAGATAGTATTGACCGGAAACAATGCATGTTTGTGAGTTTTTAGTACCTTCTTCCCTGGTATCAGGGATTTTATGTTAGCTGCTTTTTCCTAGTGTGTAACCTACCAAATAAAAGTGCAAATTTTCATTTTCAATTAGAAAATTTTATACCAATGCGAAGAAGCTAAAAATAAATACGATTTGCTTATATATTGTGGCTATATTTTCACTAGTGTATTCATCTCAAAATTCACTGTAACAATTTAGGATCTAACAATGTTTGAGAAATGACTTGGACTAGTATAACCAACATTGCTCCCAATGTTTTCCGGAGTTGCTCTCTTCCATTTCCTTAAATCATGGACGTTGACTCATCAACAATAAGAGGTAAGAAATTTGATGTGATAAATTATTTATTTCGGGTAGAATTTAGATGAATTGAAATTTTCCTTGAACTACTAGAGAACTTGTGTTCATGCTGTATGGTTTCCCGTTAGCTATAGTCCTAGTGGACTAGTATAAGAAGTTTTCCTTCTAATTTGGTCCTATTAGGATGAACCTGACTTAGGTCATGAACTTAAAATTATAAATAGTGTAGGTGCTGACTTTTAATATTATTATTATATTTAAGGTTTAGAATTTAAGATTTAGGTGCTTATTTATTACTTAAATTTTGATAATTTTGATAATTATGTTTTATTATGTTGTTTTTTAGTTATTTCATTAGTATTTCCTTTTAAGATTTGATGTTAATTTCCTAAATTGTTTATTGTCGTTTGATGTTTATTTCACTCACTTTCTCTCGATTATCTTTTGAATTGTTTTGTACCTCTCAAACACCCTACTATGTTTTGATTAAAATGATGGTTTTGATCACTTTGATACTTATTTAACACTATTATACCTCTACTCCAACTTAAATATTTCTCATTCTCATACATCCTAATATTTCTTAGACATCACGATACTTCACCAACTTAATACTCTTCGTACAACTTGAAACTTTTTGGCCACCCTTCAATAAAGACTTGTTATACATCATGAGATAACATCAACGTTTTGTGATACAAAATTGAAAACATCAATTGTCTCGGCCATGTGGGGGTTCAGGAATTATAAATAGGCCTGTCTTCTTTATTAGCTTGGGTCAAAGTGGGATTGTTACACATAGTTCATGCGAAATTTGCATACGTGTCTTGTTGAGGTAAGAGTGCAAGCCACTTGGCATGTGAAGTTTGGGTGGCTAGTGCTATGTGTAGGGTAGGGAATTCAAAATATAAGTGCAAGATATATTTTGAGAGAGAACCCTAACCAAGATATATTTCTTTTCTGTCCTAACATCTCTAATCTTACTGATTCAAATGTGAAAGTCTTATTTAATTGAATTTCAAATATATAGAAAGTGTAACTGTTTTACAACTTAATGACATTAAATTAATCACCAGAAAATACAATGTAGTTTCATAATGATATTTAAATATTACAATTTAATAATAAAATAATCACATAACATTTAAAAAGAAGACATAATTATCACATTCTGTGTATTACTTAGATAAGTCGGAATTTTTATTCCTTCAAATAATAAATTGAGGCTTTATTATATATTTACATATTTAATAACCAAAATATTATTTTCCCTAAATGTTACTTGCCAGCTTTACCTCTGCACAATATACGCTGTTTCTTCACTCACGTTGAACTTTTTCATCTCCATGAAACACCTTCCTCTATTTCAACAATGACGTTAGAAAACTAAAATCTCCACACCATCTTTTTCGTGGTTCCTAATAAACACATCGAAAAACCTTATGGTTAGCTCTAAATGAGTCCTTGTCAAAGAACCATGTCTAAATGTTCTGCATAATCAAGTTCTGAGAATCACTGAACAAATACCCAAACAGATATAAACTTAGAACCCTCCCCTACACAGAACTAAAAAATTGAGTCATCAATGCCTTAGCTTCAAAGCTATGTGCAATCTGAGCACAACATAACAACTGATCACAACCAACTCAGCAAACAACGTTAAAGTCATCCAGCAAGACAAAAGGTCAGGAGAAACTAAACATTGATTAGCTGTGTAAATAAATGAATTCATGCATCTTCTCAACCAGGACCATGCAGAAAACACAATCTTGTGTACGATTGAACACATCCGCAGTGTGGTTGAACAATCTCTGTGCAAATGATCTATGACGTACAAGGAGACACAAAGGATATATTGAGTTCTTAATTATAGGATTAATTTTCTCTCAAATATATCATGGTCCTAGCCTAGTACAAAATGTTTATAAGTATTCAGTCCTTTATAAATTATGTGTTTAATATATATACTCATTTTTGTTCTTAATATGAATAAGAGCAATGGTCCTTCTCGTCATTTTAACAAAAGTAACTTTTAGCAGCCATATATACCATCTTTAAGACCTTTACCAACATTCAACTTGTGAGTAACTCATGTTCAGCAAAGTAATCGTATATATTATTTGCAATCATACAGGATCCAATAAGTACCCTGTTTAAACCAAGACAATTAAGAGACAATTCTGGCAACAATTTAATGGCCATTAAAAGTGACTGGTACAAGTTTAAGGAGACTTATAACAGCAATATACGTAGTAAAAGTTAGGATTATTTGTTTTCCTTATTTCTTTTTTGAAATCAGATCTATTTGTTTTCTAAGATATAAAGTATTTAACCAACGTCGATACTAATGGTAGTTATAATTGCTTCTAAAAGTAACAGCATACAAATGTTCTATTCTTTATTTTGGTAGAAATACAAATGTTCTAAGTTAATCATGCTAAAGGATGATATATTTCATAAAGTACACAACCAAAAAGAAAGAAAAAATAAATAATGTGGTATCAAGTATATCATCCCAAAAATTCGCGAGTATTATGAAGAAAAGATAAAAGCAAGTCATATGGATTTAATAATTAATGTCATTAAATATGTACTAACTATTAATCATGGCCACATTACAAAACATAGTTGATGAATTTCAACTCTCAATCACAATATAGTCTTCCGCAAATAGCTTTGTGATGATCATAGTATATGACTTGAAACAATAAAATAAAAATATATATTTTAAAGTGAGATGAAACAATAATAGATGTATGGAGAATAATTAGTAACTTCTTTTGGAGCTGCAGAAGCAAATGATATTACAACTAAATACTATTCATGAGAAAGAAATATTAAAAAAAAAAAAGATAGCTTATTATATTATATATTGAGTCCTAATTGTGCACCAGAATCAAAAGAATTTATGTATTTGCATATGTAGCCAATTTACACAATCAATGGACAGAAAGTATACAACATTGGATACAAACTAACAGCCACTAACACCATGAGATAAATAATACAAATTCCTTCTAACACAAATTGGCCAAAATGCATTTTTTTTTTATAAGCAAATGATTTCACTAAACACAAACCACAACACAAGTTGTGCAGAGGTTTAGAACTACAGAGGATAAACACAATGTCTGTAAAGAAAATTGCTGTCTACATATGCATTTTACCATCACTTACGATCCCCATCTCACGAATACATCCACCCTCAAAAACACAAGGAATGACGGTAATATTTATTTCAGTTCATTTATAACAGGTAGAAATTGGATATTAAACATTAAGATTAAGTACTCATTTATTTTCTATAGTTACAAAATTTTTAATTCTTATTCTATAAATAAAGACATTCTATTTTAGTTTATCTATATTATTTTTAATCTCTTATAATCCTCACTGCTACTTTCGTAGAAACTAATAAGATTAAAAATATGTGTAAAGGATAAAATATATATCATAAAGAAATCTGTATAGTAATTAAAATGATATGTTTGTAATAATACCAAACATTAAAACGAGTTAACAGTTACGGCAATGTTTTTGTATTGTGCTCCTAGTCCATTGTCGACCTTTAATGTAAACCATGTGTTACAGAACAATAAACCTAACTTTAAGAAAGAGAAACATAAGCTCTTTTAATCAGTACCAATCTAAAAATAAAATTCTTGAAATAAGATTACTTGAAGATCAGCAACACAGCAGCAGAGTTATTAAGTTAAGTTTCTCAACCACTATAATCATATCCAATAACATTTATGTACAATAATTTTCGTTAAGCTTATTCATTGTCAAACGATTCAATTAATGTTTCAGGATGAAACAGCACCCCTAACCCTCACTACAGACATATATAACTATAGACATTAGAAGGCAATGAATATCAATGAAACACTAGTACGCAACTATTGTTTAGAAATAATTTGGCAATGGTTTGAGTAGAATATTAGAAGCTCAACTAAATGCTCAATTATTCAATCAAATAAAAAGGTGGTTTCAATTACCTCACACCATGGCATCATAGCTTATGTAAGTATGCGATCTCTTTAACTTAATGAGAGTCTGTAATTGCCCTTGAAAATTTCTCCTTAATAGTTTCATTAGAAAATTATTTTTATCAAGACTCTATTTAGGAAAAAAAAAATTGTTCCTAAGCCACTTTTGACTGAATATTTTAAAATTCAATCCATATCCAACTATAGGTTTCAACTGGACGGAAAACCTTCATTCATTCCCTTGTCATCTGAATTTGACATTTTATTTCACTGAGCCAAAATTGCACAGATGAAACATAGAAAAGGTTGCTATTAAATGAGAAACTCACCTTTGCGAACCACTTCACAAGGACATTAATATTTATGTTATAAGAATCATATAAAATACCTTTTTTCCCTCTAAATTATCAAATGATCAAAATACCTTAATTTTGTTCCCATTGTATATTGTTTAGGAAGATATAAAAATAATATCATAGGCATGGAGCTTTTGATATGCCAGGAAAGATTCACATGAAGGACCATAGACCATTTGTGACAAACGCATTACACATTAAGTTGTGTGATAGAGTAGTGAAAGTTCCTAAATAAAAGTATCAATTACTATGTATAAAAATATTTGAAAATTATATCAGGAAACGTTAACCAGAATGCAAGCTTTGAAACAGATGTATGCTAGTGTAAACTATGTTTCACAAGTGATACCAACATTTAAAAAAAAAAAAAATCTGGACTCGAAAATTATCAGAACAATCAATCAAATACAAAAAAAATTGCAAAGTGAGTTAGAGAGATTCGTAAATTACTGAGAGAAACGTTTTGCACGATAGTCGTTGTCGAGAAGTGAAACCCTAACCTGAGCAGTGAAGAAACTCCAAGGTTGTCGTTGAGAAGAGAAGCCCTAACCAGAGCGTGTAGTTGGAGGCACGTCTGGTTTTTGCAAAATAGAAAAACCACAGCCACAGTGATACTCGGTGAAAATAATGAAAACATGAGATCCTGTAAATGGTAAACAACGAAAACAAACTGAGAACTGAGACTAAAAAATTGGGAAACAGCTTCTGCTATTGAAACTGACAACGCGGGGTGAAATTAGGGCAGAAACCTGTCGTTATGCGCTTTTGCTCGATTTAGGGCAAAGGTGGACAATCGTGAATTTGGGAATCAGAGATGGAAAAGTTTGTACAGATGTTTGCAGACATGAAAAGAAGAAACTAAAAGTGGAAGGAGGTGGATTTTGGACGAGGGTTTCCTCAGGTACAAAAACAATTGAAAAAATAAAATCGTCGTCACAAACTAATATTCATTAGCCGCAGTAACTCCAGGATAGAGAAAGAAATACTTGTCATTAAAGAAAAACTTTACATTAATGAATGTTATTTTATCATACTCTTATTTATTATTTGGAATCAAAGAGTAGGCTAAACCTATTTGCTTCTCTTATCCCTTTTCACCTTCAATATTCTGGTGTAAATATCAAGTTCTACAAATATAATGAAACTTCATCTTTAATCCAATTTCCAAATATAAAGTTTTGTTGTTCAAGGATCCTCAAACCTGCATAAATGCACTTGCAAGTTTTTGTCTCTTCTAACATTCCAAAAACAAAAATATACCACTATAACTTGCTACAGCGAGTGAAAGAAGTTGCTGATACAAAATTTTGCATAATTTTTCCCCCAAAAGAGGAATGTAAGAATTAAAAAAAAACAAAAAAAAAAAAACAAGGAACACACAGAGATCGATAGATAGGATGGTTTAATGATAGGTGTTTTTGGAAGCTCAAATCTAGTATTTTTATTTAAATAAAGTGACTTTTATATTAAACAAGTCAGATCTTGATTAGACTTGGCTCAAGCTCTTGATAATTATTCTGACTTATTTCATCTCTGATTGGTATGAGCAGATTTCACTGAGACAAAGCTAATCTGAATTATCGCTTCTTCAAGAAAAAGATAGATCTAAAAATTTAAAATATAAAATATAATTGAACAAAAATAGCCTTCATGTGAAATTTACCAAAATGGCTTCCAAACATTTTCTTTCGGAAAATGTTTGGAATCGTGTTTGCCTTCAAGCTTATTTACACCTCAGCTGTTCTTAAGCCACTTAACTTTATGTCATCATTTATCCCTAAGCAAGCACACGTTTTGAAAAAATGAAATTGGATTATATATGTGGAAAAATCCAATGAATCTTGGAATCGAATCCCACAATATCCCTTTCTGATATTCAGACAAGAGAAACAAAGTAAAAGAAGAGCATTTGTAACTCTTTAGATTAATAATACCGATTCATCATTCCATCGATTTAGAATTTTTCATAACAGACAGTTCATACATATAAAACGAAATTGAAACTAGATCCGCAAAGTCCTGAAGCGAAACAAGAGTAGCATTTATTTACTGGGAATTTACAGCTATTTAGCATGCTAATGCATGTCCACAACATTAATTACTGTTAATGGTATAAACTGCTACTCATTTTTTTCTCTCGTTCTTATCTGCACCAGATCGACCTTCTCACACTGCCTTGCGCTTCCTCGGGTTCATTTTTTTAATTTCAGGAGGCTTTTCTTCCTGCAAAGAACCATGAGAAAAACACGCCAAAGTTTCTTACTAAAGGGGAAAAAAGCCAGGATTCTTAATTAGATTCTGGTGTGAATCTTAACAAGGAAAAAGAAAAGGTTATTCATCCGAACACTTACAGCAACAACAACAACCTTAACAGCCTTTTCCTCTTTAACAATCTGAATATATCAACAGATTTCTCGAAATGAGTCATGAATATACACAGGTTTTCACAGATAGATAGAACAAAGTGGAAACTTACATGAACATCAGCAAAATCACATTTTCCTTCATCATCTGTCTCAGAAACATCCTGTGCGTATGAATTAACATGAAGTGAGTGCGGAGAAGTATGAATATAGAGTCAGAACCAGATATAAACATGAATTATCCAAATGCATGCAATTACATAAACATAAGAAGCTAACAAAACGGAAAATTCGGAGAATCAGCTTATGCATCTACCCTTTTGAGTTGCCTCTCTTCGATATCTGGAGTTTCAGGCACAGTAGGGAGGGGGTTCCTTTGGAGCGGAGGAGGAGGGGGGTGGTTGCATGCCATGGTAGAGGTCTTGGCAAGTGGTATGTGTTGGGGTAAACTACGTGTTATTTATAAGAAATGTGTAAGAGAATCATAAATAAGGTGATAAAAGTCTAAAAGGGTTTCTTTTGCAGAAAAGAAAAGAAAAGAAAGAAAGAGAAAGAGAAATATATTATAAAAATAATTGTCAACATCTGGTCCATTCTTTGAAAAAATTATCAGGTGATTATGATGCATAGGATCCGGATTAATATATATAAGACACGTAATTTGTTATCAATTAAAAGATAAATAAATGAGGAAAAAATCGGTTGGAACTATTGTCAGATGGGTAGTCTTGGATTATTTCACGATTTCTTCTAAATTAATTGGGTGAATATATGCATGTAAAAAGGGATAAAAAAATTAAGGACTTAAAAATATTGTAAATGATATGATAAGAAAAAAATAAAAAATACAATACGCTATATGTAAACATTTGGCCATGAAAGAATATAAATTAAATTTGTGAGATATATAATAGATTCAAATTTGTGACTGTTGAATAAAAAAAAAAAAAAACTCTTAACAGGTGCTACATTTTCACTAAAGAAATGTAATTTAGGTGAATAAAAAATTATATAACTTCTTCTTCTCTTTCTTCTTATCACTCATTATCTTTATTTTTATTTTTATTTTTTTAATCCCTTACCTCAATTGCAACCCTATCCTCGTATTGAAAGCTTCTTGTTTTTTGTTTTGCCTTCAACGTTTGCATCAGTGCTAATGTCATCATCTGTTACATTTTAAATACTTTGTTTCTTCTATCGACATGTCTCTCCCCCCAAACATGTTTTTTCCTTTTCACTTCCTTAATGAGGGAAGCTTCCAGTCTGTGTTTTAGTTCAAACCACATATATATATAACAAACCCAAAGATGCTTTCAAAATTTTCTTCCATTTCTGTATTTTCTTCTTTCGAATAAGTTGGTTAGATTTCATTATTGTTATGTTGAGATAGATTTCGATGACAAAAATATTTAGTGTATATAATGTTAATATAAATGAAGATGATTAATTAATGCAAACGAAAGCAGAGTGAAAACTTATAACTAAGTGCATGTTTAGTAAAATTTATCTGTAAACACCTTTTAAAAACAATAAAAAAATAGGTTTTTAATAAACTAAACCTGAGTTATACATTTAAAATTTAGATTATAGAGAAATGAATACAAAAGAGCTTTTATAATTTTTTTTATGCTAGAAATTCTTCAGAATTAATGCTTCTAAAATCTTTTCACTACTCTAAGAAAAGTTTATGCGTACTTTTAGTCAACAAGATGTGTAAGATGTATAAAGTTGTTATTCATTTATAAAAAAAAACACATTTATATACACTCTCCAGTTTCTTACAATGTTTTGCCAACTAAAACAATACAGGATATATATATGAACTTGTATGGTAACTTAATTAGTTACAAAAGCAAAACTATCAAATATAGTTAAAAAAAAGGCAAAAGATCATTGAATACATAAAAAAAAAATGAGCATCAACTGCAGTTCTGTAGAAGACAAATATAGAAAAAGCAAAAACTTTTATAGGCTATAAAACCAACAAATCATAAAATATATGTATATATAAGCCTAATAGCCAAACTTTGAAAAGGCACCAACTCATTCATCTAGTGCTGCAGTGTAAAGAAATTTCATGTCCTCCAAAATCTTCACCTAGCCACTGATCCCAATAAGATAATTTATTATCTTGGTTGTGGTAACAACAAGACCATGCGAATCCAAAATCAATCTACTCTGATAGCTACACAACTACAGTGAAAGTATACATGTCAGATACTTTTTTTCCTCTTAATTTTTAACCTCTTCTGTATTTTATGTGGCTGGTGTTGTTTGAATGCAAAACTCTAAAAGATTTTTGAAAACTTTTGAAAGTTTTTCTATTCACAAAAAAAATATATGTTTTGCTTGTATCTGAATAGGACCACTGTTACACTAATAGTTTCAGGAATGATATAAGTTTTATTATATATATTTGTCAATAATTACTTTATTATTGGTAATTATTTTATTAATTTTATGACCATTCTAGATTAGCTGGTGGAAGTTGTTTCAGTTTAAAGTGATATCAACATCCTAGGAAACTTTTATCATATTAAGAAAGAGGAGAATGTCATATTTAAACAAAATGTGAGAAATGCCGAATTTATTATGATATAATTTTACATTACTCGTCCATGGATCTCCATCAAATTAATTATCCGTTATCAATTAATATCCATATTAAATTTAGTAAGTAATATTCATTATCGTTATTCATTAATTTAAATTCAGTTAGGTCTTCCATTATCTCAAACATAGCCAACTAACTAATCCAACAATTCAACAATGATAATGTGGGTTATCATCCTTAACATCAATCAACATATCTAAACAAGTTTTGTTTGTGCAATAATAGTGTCAGTTTTTTCATTGGATTGGAGAAATTTTCTTCTATTGAATTCAAGGACTTTGCCTCTGAATAATATTTTATCAATTTAATCTTTTGCATTTACAGTGTAAATTAATAAAAAATAAATATAAAAATTAATGTGTGATAAAATTGAAATTCTAAAACTGTTGGAAAAGGTGACTATCAATGTTATCTGAATTAATGTGTCTATTAAAATTTTTTAGTCCACAAGACATGTATTATTTATATGTATGAAGTGCAGAACTTGGCAAAATTGTCTAAGGTGGTTGAACACTGATTTTTTTTTTTTCTCAGGAAAAAGGACAAATATAAAGAAAGATTAAAGAGAATATGGTACAAGAAGATACCAATTAGAAGGAAAACCTAGAACTAAACTTATACGGATAATTCATACATGCATTAATTTTACACAACAAATAGATTTGGTCTTAAAGGCATTGCAAAGTTCAAAACTTTATAGTTTGCATCACTGTCTTGTGGAAGTGGAGAAATTATTGCATATTTTAATAACATTTTTTTTGGATAAGTTGAGAAAATACAGTTGCTATACTACATGGACATGGATGAGAAGCCTAATTAAATTTCAATACACATTTGATGAGTGGAAGATATGTTCGAGTGAATGTATAAATTCTAACAGGACAGTTGTAAGATTGTGTAATACACAAAAACTTAGATAAAATAGAAGAACATATCAAGAAAGACAGTAAATAGCAATTGGAAATAAATACTGTTAAGATCTCGAAAAGTATAGAAAATTTATTGATACTTTAAAAAAGTTAAGGACCACACAACCTACATAAAAGTGTGAGTTAGGTCCTATATATATAATGCCCAATGTTGGATATTTTAGACATTAAATGAATTACCAATATTCTACAAAACCAAATTCAAATATAAAGTACCTCCTGATATTTTCTTTCACTTTTAAATAAATATAAAGGAGTAGTTAGTAGAAAGTTGCTACATATGTAATATCCAGGTATCACTTGTATCCAATATTTTTAAAATTATTTGTTTGCTGAAAGAAAAAATCATCCCTGTCGAAGTTGATTTTTACTCATTTGATCAAATTTGAAATTAAACTTCGTGCATTTCAAGTATTGGTTCGAGTTATGCTTTTGGTGATTTCCAATTCGGTTTGATATATGTTTTTGAACAATTTATATTAATAATAATAAATGATTTTTAAAACTATCACGGTAAATTTAATATATCAAACTTTCCACAAATCATATATATAGTTATTTCTTTCAACTAGTGGTTATATACTAATTATTAGATCAAGAAGTGTATCTAAACTACAAAATAACATTATCAAGCATTATTTATCTTCGTATTGTTTTATTAATTTGCAAACCTTTCAAGTTGTTTTGATAAGTTGATTTTAACATATTTGTTTTGATAGTTCTTACCTGCATTATCTATGAAACCATATTTACAAAACATTTTTTTCAAAACATATAATCATCATCTCAACCAAATCCAAACACTTGATAGAATCAATTGTCCTTAACATACCCACGTCATGAGCATAGGGAAAAGTGTTACCTACCTTCATCCCCTCTGTGATTAAGTTGATATGTCACATTGAGTCCACCTTGGGATCATAAATAAAGACATGGTCTAACCGAGTCAATGGACCCTCTATTCCATGAAGCGCATAAGTAATGGGTGAGGAGTTATTTCATCTTGAATTCAAGGTTAGAAGAAGGTGATGAAGACGGATCAGAAGTAGGAATTTCACCCATTATCTCGAGTTGTTGTTGCTTTTGATCTGTCATGGCAGGAGTCACCAATTTTAATTTTTTTGAGTTCAGTCACCCCTCTCGACAACAGCACAGACATAAGGATCTCCATCGAACTTAGCACAAGTTTTTTTATATTCAAATTTGGGTCTCATGATCTCTGTAAAATAACAGAATTAGTAAAAAAAAAAATTTTAAGATACAGATCAAATAAGAGACCGAGCTTTTTGTTCCACAACAGGAGGAACAAATAAGAGACTCCGGACAATTGATTGAATAAGGGAGACTTGAAAGAATTTTTATATTTATTTTATCTTTGAGAAATAGTAAATGTTCAACTTGACACTTGAACTTCAAACTCGTCCGCCAATGACCTGGTGAGAATAGAATTGTTAGAGTCATCCGAAGAACAAAAGACCTTATATCAAGAAGGATTGAGAATTAAAGGGTGCCTTGAAGACTTGAAGACATTTGAAGAAAGAACTAGAAAAGAAAAGCTCAAATTGAATAGCACAACACAAAGGACTCAAACTCGATACAATTATCTAATCTATGGCATAATTTTTAAGGTAAAACCATGAGACGGCACATTAATGGTCAAAATTATCATTTGCAAAATCTCCTATTAGTGCATCTTAGAAAATTATAACACATACCAGAAGTAAAAAAAGTCATTAGAGAAGTTTGATATAATAATGACTATAATAACGTTTAAACCCATGTATTAGAAATGGTACGAATCAATTCGTCCTATTTTGTGTCATTCTATCAAAAGGTGGGTTAGCATACTCATGTGTTAGTTTACCACAATTTAAAAAAAATATTTTTTTAAATCAAATTTTTTAATAAATTTAATAATAAAATTATCATTTATTTGATAATATTTTAACATATATATTTCAAGTTAATAATATAAATCAACATATTATTTTAAAAAATTATAATTTAGAATAATAATAAAATTTATATAATAATAAATAATAACAAATATATATAAATGACGTTAAAATTTGTAAAATTTATATTTTTTATATTGAAAAATTTAAATACCTATATCTTTTTTATTTGATAAACTTCACATTAATTTTTACGCTTTTAATTCAAGTCATAAGGATAAAAACAATCAAGATAAACAAAAGGAAATGATGAACAACAAGGAGAAGAAAAGAGAAGAATTTATGTTTGAGTAAGGATAATGTTTACGTAATGACTGAGAATAAGATTTTTTTTAATTCTCTTTTTACAATTTTTAACTTTATAAATTATCTTTATGATTAACCGTATTATAATAAAAAAATATTCTTTTATTAATTAAACGACTTCCAGACTTACCCGCCCCATCTCGCAAACTAGCCCGACAATTGATGAATTGAAAACACTAATACATCCCGTTATATTATGGTGAATTAACGGACCGACCCACCAAACCTAACTTGTTTTGTCATTTTACCAAGCACCAACTTGACAAACCTAAGCACAAGCTTGGTAAATCAGAAATTGACACTTAAATCAAATTAGTTCATCTTTGTTATATTTGAGACTATGAACTTGTGAGGCTTGTCTAAATTTTTTTCATTCATTATATTTATTAATGTTTAACAAAAATATTTTTTCTATTAGTATTTTAAATACATAAGATAATACTACATACTAAATATATTTAATTCCTTGATTATACATAAAAGGTAATAATTAACATTTAAAAAATATAAACTAGTATTTAAAATAATTTTGATAAGAGTCCGATAAATATAATTATTCTATTGTTTTATTCACATGTTAATTTTTTTTATTAACCTTGTAGTAATTTAAGTATTAAAATATCATAAAATACATAAAAAATTGATAAAGTAAATATATTAAATATAATTATTTATAAAAATAAAGAGGAAAGATATAAAGATATTTTAAATAAATATTAAGTGAAGTGAAAAAGTTATTACTTTTAAATAAATATCAAAATTTTAAATGATTACTTTAAGAAAAAAAAAAAAGTTATTACATTGTTACTAAAATTTGTGAAGTGAAGAATAGAATTCATTAAACCTTCTCTATCCTCAACAAATAATCCATTGATTTTTTTTTTTCTAATATGTAATAATGATAGCAGTTAAATTTTGTGTGTCTTTTTTTTTTTTCTATCATCATTCTCTTTAACTCTCCCTGAAATGTAAATTTTTCTTCCCTCTCCCTCGAACATAAATTGTTCTTCCCTATTTAACTATGGAAGTTGTTCAAACTAGATATAATCCTGTGTCCACATGTGCTTTTAAGTATTTCTTTCGTTTTCCACGTGTCCTCCCTCGTAATAATAAGTTGGCTTGTTATTTTGAATATCCTTTTGGTGAAATTTATAAAATGGGAAACTTATATAAATTAACATATTAATGTAAACTAATATAGAGTTAAATTCCTTCACCAATTTTTTTAAAGAAGAATTTAAACAAAAAAATTGTCAGTTACATGTATTGAAAATATTACATATTGTCATTGAAATATTTTTATTTATTTTTTCTTATTCATCTAGACTGTATATTTAGCTTTGTTTTTAACAATAGTTGAAGAGAATAAAATATTTTTGGTTTATTTTAGTCTCCATCGATCTTAAGATAATAAAATATTCGTTGTATTTGTTATAATATATTTTCTTATTGGTAATTATTTTATTAATATTTTACTTTTAACTCTAAATCTCTAACATATTATATATCACATAAACAATCCAGATATGTCAAACAACATATTTTGATATCATTTATTGACCTCGGATGTTTATTGTTCTTATTAAGTATTTATCCTTAGACAAAATTCATGGTTTAACTCATCATGTTAGCCCAGACAAATTCAAATCTAGAATTTCATGTTGTTCTTTCCAAAGCATGTGGACAACAGACCATTTTTTTGAAGTGATTGTAAGAAAGAAATATAGTATAATAAGGAACAAATTGGCTCCTCACACAAACAAATTATGTTTTTTTTGTCACTACCATTCAAACTTTCAAAATATTGTCTCAAAATCACAATCAACAAAACTTATAAATTATTTTTTTGTCAAGATCTTTCTATTATGTGTATTTTTATCTTTAGAAGAATAAGTCTCATCCTTATCAATAATTACTTTAAAGGAATTCATTAAATCATGACATTTCGGAACCTTCCTCTTACCTTCCAAGCCTTAGGATGATAATACTGGTTCTTCCTAAAAAGATGAAGTTAAATATTATTAATATATATATATATATATATATATATATATATTTTTTTTTTTTAAATATAAGATAACATTAATCAGTCATTTATTGTTTTCATAACTGATATTTTATATATATATATAAAATTAATGTTCTAAGTATTATATTACAAAGAGGTGTAGGTGTGAGCATGTGCGTGCTTGTGCCTTTATATTTTTAACAGCAAATCATTAGATTAAAAATTATATAATCAACTGAAGAACTCAAATATATATTAAGAGAGATCAAATAATGCATAATTCTTCCTTTTATGAAAGGCTAACAAGAAAAAAGAGATCATATCCTCATGATGGAAGGATGTTCATTATACTGTTGGACAAAACATGAATGTAATATAATTCTTGATTATTCTAAGGGCATAGACAAGAAATAAACCATGAGAGATGTATTTTTTTCTTTTCACAACTTTCTTTTGTCAAAGTAAAATAAAAATATCCAAAAAAAAAAAATCTTTATTTTATTGAGCAAGATATATATGAAACTACACTAGAATATTGAGAACTCTATCTAACATTCTCAGTACAAATTGATTTTATTTTGCAAAATCACATTGATGTCTCAGGGTATTCTTTTTTCCCCACCAGGATTCACTTTTTTATCAAGCGTCATCCTCAGTCCAGTAGCAACTGCTGCGAGCAACTGCACTCCATTGGCATTATCTGCTTCCTTTCTCACATCTGCCTGAGCAGAAACACCTACAGTATTCACTTCCTGAAACCGTATTCATACAAAATTCAGTCACTACTTTAACTTAAAGTTTCTCCAATCACAAGCATTTCACTTTTACTTATTGAAACACTTACCGAGGATTTTTCTGCAGGATTTTGGTCGTTAATATAAACACGAGCAGCAGCAGCCTACGAATTATCATAAATAAAAAAACAGGAAATCATAATTAAAAAAAAAATACATATTGATATCAAACTATTCTAAATTACAACCTTACCCTTAACGCGTCCATCTTTTCTTGACTAATTGGCTTGACCTGCATGAAATCTGGTTTTTTAAACCTTGCTGGTCTTCTGCTTAATACCATTGATGAACTTCTTTTAGTATATGCCTACACTTAATATTCTAGTGATTCATGGAGAAAATGTTAGAAGAGGATGTTATAGGTAGCCAAGTCTATATAAGAACCATGACGAGGTAAATAAATATATTTATATATAAATATTTTGAAACACAATTCTACTCATATTCGTTACAGCAGATCACTTTATCAGAATTAAACAGTTCCCAGTGGAATCGCACACATGAACAGCGGTTTCACAGGTTTCAAAATTTTAACGTTAAAGCTATAACTTGTAAAAATAAGCTATACTCTAAGCCTATGTCAGGTGTCATGGAAATTAATTTGTTTTAAGTGTGGTTTCCGCTGTCTAGTTGACTACATCTTTATAGAAGAAAGGTTCTGAATAATAATTAATCATATAAATAAAAATAAAAATTTAATAAATAATATTATATTATTGAAAACATTTAATGAATTATTAATTACATAAGAGAAAGTGTGAAGTAATGAGGTGTAAAGAATAGAGACCTAGGTAAACTAAGAAACACGCTCTCTTATCTAATAAGGTCAAAAGTAACCGTCATTCATCGTGTACTTTGTCTTCTGAGTATCTTCTTTTGGCCCCCCTGAATATCAGATAACTGGTAACTCTAGCTTAGCTGTTAAAGGTTCACGCAGGCTAACCAGTGTTGCTCACGTTGAACTGTACCTGCATGTAGCCAGGTCAGTATCTTCAAAAAATTATTTCACTTTTGTAGGTCCACCAATTTGTATATAGAGAAATTGTGTATTCCAATACCAATTTAATTTTTGTGTGCAAGGGTTATACTAACTCAAGTCAAATTTCATCTGACACAGCGAAACAAACTTGGGCATTTCCTGGGCATATATGCCTTGTCTGTTTTGTATTTAATTAGTTTTCCTGCTATCATCATCACAAAAGATAAAAAGTTGATTACTTTTTCTAATTTTCTTTGTTAGTTGTTTCCGTTTCATCCCATAAAGTTAAGAATATTAATTGTTTTTTTTTACATTATTATATTAGTCATAATATAATTTTTTTTCTGTTTTAAATTTCAAAAAAAAAATGTATCCAATAACTATTCAGCTTTTAGTAAAAAAAAATAGATTTTGAATAGTTTAAATAATTTTAGTGTTTCTTATTCTTTGTACCAAGCGTTGAATAACGTCTATCTCTCCATAAATACAGATAAACCGTTCTCTCTTCCACTTTGATAACGGGTCTACCTACTACCTGTCTCATAAATAGTAAAAAGTCTTGGTTAGTTTAGATCATTTTTGACGTGTATTTCTAGGAAAACCAGTTAAAAGAAAAAAAATTATAAATTAAAATTGATTTATCCATAAATTAAAAAAATAATAATATAAAAAATTTATACATTAACACTAATTTTAATTTATTTATTAATTTTATAATAAAAAGAAAATCTAATCTAAATCAGGTTTGTTTCCATTTTGGGGGAGAATGCAAATTTTACATTTCACTCGATTAAGTAATTAGTAAGCATCATCCATAAAACACAACAAGTAATCCTCTTCTATTTTTTAGTATATCACCCTATCTAACCATATTAAAATAATTGTAAAAACATTCATGTATTGAATTTTTCATTGAGTTTCCAAACTTGAGACAGTATTGCTTTTATACTATAATATAGTCCATAGAATTTCTTAATAATTTGACAGTAATAGCATAGGTTAATTTTTGAACCACAAGATCCTTTTTATATCCTTGTGAACTAAATTGTGAAGAAGTAAATTTGTTTCGCAAATAAACCATGGTGGTCCTTGTGTTCATTGTTTAGCTGGTACTGTATTTCACCCTCAAGTTCTTGCATCAAGAAAAGAACTTACTTTATACATTATTATACACAATAGTAAATTCAAGTTTACAAATTTTAGGTTACAATTTTCACTCTAATGTAAAACAAATCACTTCACTAAACATATGAATATTTGTTTATACGACTTCGTTTAATTTAATTAAATTAATAGTTTCAAATTTAAATATACAATTTGGTTATCATCTAACAATATATTACTCTATATATTCAAACAAACATTGTCTCCAAAATAGTTCATATTTTTGTCTTAATTATTCTAAGACTAATTTATCCTTCTCCAGGACATTTTTTTGCATTATAGTGCAAGAAGAAATTATATTTTCAAACTATCTTAAGATATTTGTAATTTTTTTGACATTACCGATGGAGGATAACATCATGCAATTTATAGCCTATTCAACTTGTTTGGTTGCGAAATGGGATGTCTTACAAAACAACAAAATCTGTTTTGAATTAAATGTGACTAGAGAGCACCAAATTCACTTTCTTTCTTGCATTTCATGTGTTCTTTGACAGTTGTGTATAAACCAGTGCTTTGTATCATATTCCAGTTTAGTCCTTGTTGATGTGCTTCTTCCATAAAAGGAATCACAATTAAAAGTATTTTAGGAAAATTAAGATGAAAAAAATATATATATCAATGTCTTTTACCATGTATTAAAACAGTGATTTCTAAAAAACGTACTGTCCTCTCTAATCTCATAACCTATTCTTGTATTTCGTTGTGGATTAATGTATCATGATTCATGAATCATAGAATGAAAAAAAGAAAATTGTGTTCTTATTTTTCTACAACGATGTACACATCCCAGCACATATAGATTTAGTTTTCAAATTACTCAGTCACTAATCGTATTTAAGTGGGTCTAGCACTTAGCCATAGCTTCTTCAATGCAGAAATACACTCCCTTGGGAATGATAATAATTTATAATTTTCTGATATTTGACTTTAACTCTAGTGCTTTAAAATTGAATACTACTACTGACTGCATAAAAAAACTGATTACTGCATTTATGGTATTATCTGCTATTAAAGAGCTTCTTTTAACGCTTGCTGAAGAAGAACTCGTAAATTTTTAATCACAGACCGAAGAAGAGGAGATCATAAAGCAAAACAGAAGAAGTCAAATACGAAATCTGGAGGGTACAGAACAACAAGATAATAACATTCATAACTGAAGGAAATGAAACTGTTTGATAATTTAAACCACAAAAGCAGCAACAACAACACTAAACAAAAGAAAACACAGATCAAACTTCAGCTCCAGGACCATCATAGCATATTCGAGCGGAATAATGCTTACTCGTCCTCATCACAATCAGACGCGACAACATTCTCTTTCACCTGCTTTGGGCTAATTGTTTCCACTGGCACCAAACCCTAATACCACCAAAAAACACAATGAGCACATAAGTTTCCAACATTTCATATTAATTTCGCTTTTCCATCAGAAAAAGTTTAGTAGCAGTATATACAATTCTAATTCTAATACATAACAATTATCGGAAGCTAATTAAGAATCGGCCATCCACACAGTGCTTGGTACACAGATCCTGTTCAAAACCTCTTCAAAACAAGAGTTGAGAGATCTGTGCATACCCCACAGAAAAAAAAAAAAAAAAAGTTCTGATGATATTCTGAAATAAAAGTGAATCATTATTATAAAATCTAAGAAATCATTATATTTACCGTCAGGAATATTTTCAGAGCTTCCTCCTGAGTGTGGGAATTGATGATTTTGAGGGCTGCCTCCTGCAGAGAGAATTTTAAGAATATTTAAAAAGGAAAATGAGAGAAATTAATTGGATCTTGGAACAGTAAAGAGAAAATTTTTAAGTACAATTATAATAATAATTTATATCAAAGAGAATTATCAAACCCTGGCCATATCCATTTCCTCCTGAAGTAAAGTTTTGGGTTCAGACTCAAGGGAATTTTTCCTTTCAAGCTTGGGAGGAGGAGACACTGGTGTTAATGGTTTCTCGATCTTGTCATTCTTCTCCACTGTTGCTGCTGCAGTTGCAGGTGCTGCATGGCGCTTCATCTTCAGGCCTTGCACAAAGAACTCACACAATCCCACTACAAGTCTTGGAAATTTAATAGAACGGAAGAGATACTTAACTGTGCCTGTTTTTTCTCAATTTGTAACCGATGGGTGCAGAAAATTGGCATCTTTGACTGTCATTATGAAGAGGGGGTGAGGGGCACAGCTGTGCTCTCAACAGATGAATTAACGTGGCAGCCATGGCGAGGAACAAACAGAAACGCACATACAAATGGCAATGTAAGATGAATATAGGTTTCTTAGGCTCTAGTAACACATGAAAAACCAACCGCGGTATAAGCCAAAACATTTGTTTCCCTTCCTCCCTCGGAGGTTTCTTATGTCACTATTGTGAAAAGCACGCGCATGTGATGCCTGTCTTTTTAACCATCTTTATTTTTCATATCTTCATTTCAAAACAAAAGTATTGCAAAAACATTTCTTTAAAATACAATTTTCTACATTTTTTAACTTATTCTAAACCTAAAGCTTTATTTATTCGATTCACTCTCATAGAGAATAGTGTGTGAAAATTTAAATTCTTTGTTAGTCCTTCACCAGACTCATTTGATCATGTGAATTTACGGTATTTATAACCATTTTTTGTTACAGATAGTTGAGTTCTATAAATTTTATGGATAGTAAAGCTAATATCTTCAAAATTTGTTTAAAATTTATCTTATATAAATTAAAAAAAAACGTAATTATTTTAAACGGACTAAATTGACACAAATTTAAAAGATAAAGGATAAAAAGAATTTTTTAAACAAAAAGATAAAGGACACATACAAATAAAGAACAAGTGTATTTTATAATTACCCATTATTTAATTCCATTTATTATAAGACGTTAAAGTTGAGTTTCATTTAATTTCACTCACAAATCCTAAACTCGAATCAATGAAATTTGTTTATTTGTTTCATTATTACTATATTTACTCAATTATTTAATATAGGCCTTTATTGCCCTAATTCTTTAGGGTGAATTCACACGGAAACAAAGTATCAGGGAATTAACAATAGTAAGAAAACGCAAGGTTCAATAACTAAACTGTTCATAACTCAACGAATTACAAAGTTCCAAACCATATTCATATATTAATTTTCATCAACACATTGATTAAAAATCATTCCAAAAGGGGCCAAATCCTACCACACGTTAAGAACAAGAACTGAACAACACGAAAACCAAAGAACCAGAATTTTATAACTAAACCAGATGAAGAATATTCAAATGATCCAACTTTTAAATCTGAATGCACTGTAATCAAATTAAATTAGACTTTAAGATGATTGATTATGAATACTTATAAGCCTTAATTTAAATTAATTTTAAAATTTGATATAGCATATCAATGAGATTAGTCAACAATTAATGCAGAGCAGTTCTGAAGTTCCTGGACACCAGAAGAGAGGGACAATCCATCTTGGCTTCTCTCTTTCTAATCCTGTGACAATACCTTGGCTTCACATTGATTTGGATGTCACCTTCCTCATCCACTATCCCCACAGAATCCACCACCATATCCTTCTTTGGATTAACCGCTTGCTGCATGAGAATTGTTTGGACCATCAACTCTAAAAATCTCAAAGCAATTCTAGCTTTGTAACAACTGATGAGGAATTGGTCACATTATTACAAATTGGTGACAATGGGTGAAAAGATGGTGTAAAATACATCTATTCTTTCTTTTTTTAATTTTCTAATATGTTATTTAAATACATACTCATATATTTCAAATAAGTATACAAATTATTGTATTCACTATTGTTAATTTTTATCTTAAAAAATATAATTTAATCATTTATATTAATTTACAAATATTTAGATCGTGATAACATTAATATAATATAAATTTAACTACTATCAATTCACCATCTTTAATAATATAGTTCTTCATAGATACAGTTTTAAAATATTTATTTGGGTTATTCTCGTTATTTTTTTAACAAGAACAATAATAAAGGAATTCAAACAAGAACAAAGTTTTTTTTTTGAAGACATTGTATTCTAGATTTTATCTCTTTAGTTAGAAATCGTTTCAGTTTTTATCTCTGACTAGTTTAGAGAGTTTTTCTTTAATTCTCAATCACATCATCCTCGCTCAAATTTGTTAATGATCCATTATCATTTTTCTCGTCATTTAACTTTCCACAAGTATCGAAGAATATCCTTAATATCCCCATTGATTTTCCTCTAAATTTAACATTATAACACATTCATAAGTGATTTCATTTTTCTGCATATTCAAAATCCCCCCTTGAATGTTAGATGAACTTTTCCATGAAAGTAAAATAATATGCAGAGTCTTGTATTCAAGTCATAAATGTTGACCCCTACATCAATTAAAGTAAATTGGTCACTGGACTAAATAGATGTGGGTCTATCTATTTTCAGAAGAACACCCAATTGCAAATTGCCACATCAAAAAAACTTATCATTGTAGGCTTTCAAGTTATATATTTATGATATTCGAACATATTACACATCCCTCTCCAAGATAAAATCGTTAAAAATAAATATCCAAATCATTGTACTAACGAATAATGGTCAACAGCTAAAAAAAAGCATGTTTGCATTCTTCCTAGGATAAAAAATGGAGCACATAGGAATCCTTAGATATTAACCAAGTGATACAAATAGTACCATTAATATTTTCCTACTTTCTTGCAACTTCAATACTAAGACATGGAATCCTTAACACATTAACTACCAAGCAATCCTTTTGCCTCAAGTTCCTCACTGTCACCCTAATCTTAAAACAAGTGTCCTAGGGTCTTTAAATTTCCTTGCTCTTTACTCTCGTTTTCCTCCAATAATGTTTCACCTTCCATAACATTTCTTAATATGCCTTTAAATTTATAAGGATTACCAATACTATACATACAAGTAGCTTTGATGAGTGGTATAATATTTTGACTCAACAACTTTATTAGCTCTTAAATTAATCAACTCATAATTTTTAAGCTAATGTGTGCATAAGAAATAGAAACAGATATCATGATTAGAAGAAAATTAGCTTTTGAATTCACATATAATTAGGAAATTTAACCTTATCAATGATATGAATATCTTATAAAAACATTTTGGTTTCTGTTTTTTTTTTTTTTATCTAAGTATTTGAAGTAAGAGTCAACTTTAACATGCAAAAGACTATCAATTGTTTCAAGAATGTACTTGCCTTCAAACTCACCTTCTATACTTGATTATGTTCAGTCAAGTTTTTCACTTTACGATTATTAAAAAATATATCTTCCACACTAAGTTGTAAATAGAAAGATGCTTGGATCATCTTTTGAGTACAAGAAACAAATAACTATGTCACTTAAAACCAAACTAAAAAAAATGAATACAAGTTCAATTTTAATTTACTTTAGACAAATGCACACTCTGAGTAGAAGATAAAACATCACAATTACATCCTAAGAAAAACAATAATCTCAACTTCTATAATATAATCGTATTTAATTTAGTTATTGTATAGTCATGATGTATAATTAAATACATAAATGACTATAATGGTCAAACTTATAATTGATGGCATAGTTAAAAGTAGAATGACTTCTCATTTAGCAATCTCTAAATATTGAAATTTGGGAATATAATTATACTTCTTTACAAATTTTTCAAAGGAATATTTTTATTTATGAAAATTTAGATCCATATTTAGTATTTTGAAAAGAAATCTTATAATAAATTGAATGTCAAAACAAATGATAAAAAATATGTAGTATTTTTTGAATTTGAACCATAAAGAAACTTATCTTGACTTAAGAATAAGATCCTAGTGTTCTTGTACATTCGTGAGTTCTACATAGTTTAAGAGTCGCGGTTAAGAATAGTTTATATTTATCTTTCTCTATTAATCTATCGAAATATTTTTTAATAATAAAATTGTGATTGATTATAACTACAAAACAGACCATATCTCATATGTGATAATTGATTTTAATAATACTATTATAATAGATATAATTAACTTTAACAATATTATCTTATTATCACAATAAACAAGAGCTCATATACCTCCCTTCTTAAACCAAATGCATAGGTTTCGAATTCATGCTTATCATTTTTTTTTCATTTTAACTACAAAACCTTCCCCACAATGTATATGAACCCATATTAACCTTAGCAAAATAATAAATACATCTGCATGTCAAAGTTAATATTAAAATATTTATTTATAAAAATAGTAATTTTCATTTAAACTACGAAATCTTCTCATGATGTACATAAAAATATATTACCCGAATAAGGCAATATACACAATACATGTAAAAATTAATCCTAAAATATTTATTTACAAAAAAATAGTATAACACATTAACATTTTATCCTTTATGTTTAAAATACCTTTTTCTTGTTCTGAAGCATCCTATTGGACCACTTCAACTAGTTCACCAATAACATTTACAAAAACTTTGATTAGCTAAATAAAATAGTTAAAAATATATTATACAAAATGTAATTTTCATCATCAATATTACCAGACTAATTGAAAATTATAATTTATGTGTCAAACTTTGAATGTATTTATGTATTAAGAATGAAATTATTTCGGTTGGATAATTTGAGTATGTGAATTTGCATAAAACATCAAGTACTTAAAAATTGGTCTCTATTTTAGAGTATAATTTTCAATTAGTAGCTAAAAATTTCTGTTAGAGACCATTAGATTTTAATTCAAGATTAGTGATAATTTAGATTCTAATTGGTAAAACAATTTAACTAAACATTTTATAATTTAATTAATACAATCACTAAATATTTTTTTCAATCTAAATTAATCTATATTTAACACATTTGTTATGATAATTCTTATCTTTCTTCTCTATATCTTATCATATTTATCATCAAATGCCATTAACGAAGGTATTTATGAGAGATATCAAAATAGACTTAGTTCAATGGGTCAAAGAAGATCCGAACAATAAGTTAGATTAGACAAAAAAATGTATGACCTAAATAGAATCAGGTCAATTTTGGTCCGACCTATTTGGATCATGGTCTAAATGAGCTTAAGTTACACTAACATCTAAGTTTATGGGCTGAACTATTTTATAAAATAATAATTATTTTTAAAATAAAATAAAAGTAATATTATTTTATTGAAAACATATGTATAATAAAATAATTTGATAATATATATATATATATATATATATATATATAATTTAGAAAGAATAATAAATCCTAAATATAAACTTTATTTGTTTTGGTCATCTTCTTCCTCTCGTTGTTATGATCATACTCTTGTTGTGACTTCTCACGTTCTTCTTCTCATGTGCATGCCTTTAACACTTCTTT